AGGGCCACGAGCTGCAGTGCGACTCCTGTACAGAAGGTGCGATTTGACAACTTCACCGTCACACCGGAGACACAAGAGTCTGTCACTCACACGAGGACACACCTAACGTAACTATGTGAAACACTTCTATGCCATCCTTGTGACCAGTTTACACAACAAAGGCCATCTGACACTGCCAGGTCCTCCTGCTCCTCCTACAAAACGCACACAAACAGCGCAAGATGCCGAAATACAGGAAGGTGGCAGCAACCATATGAGGAACTACGAGTCAAACCTGCTGAGGAGAGTCACCAGATACACCACCCGACAGGCCTGACTGATATTTCACCAGACGCCCGGCAGCAAACACAACCGACTACCATGTAAACAACATTCTGCCTCTTTTTTTTTCCCACCATATTTTAATATCATGCCTGCTTACATCGTGTTTTTCATCCTGTAGCGGCGGGTCGGTCAGTTCTGATAAGACTGATGATTTTAAAAAAAGCTGGACTGGACTGTCACCGTATCAGGGGCTCAGGACGCATCTATATTAATGTCCTGTCTTCTGTAATTTCCCCTCTACAGTAGGTACATGGGGGCGATAAGGCAGCTGGTTGGAGATATCACCACAGGAAATCAGCGGCCGGGCCAAAGCAAGAGCTGGCAAATTGCTAATGACAAACACAATAGAAACATGCCGGTCTTTGTGTGCTGCGGGCCTCGGCGGTGGCAGGGCTCTCTGCTCCCCGCTAGTGCTGAGGTCAGGAGAATCTCATTTGCCTACATTAACTTCACTGCTGAGTGCTGAACTTTGGGCGTGCTCAGGGGCCCCCACACACACATCTATGGCCAGACGGCGGGTTTTTTGGAGCCTTCACAGACTTCAGTTAGGTTGAGGCGATAAAGCTGCGTGTGCTGTTATTTTATGGCATCTGTGACTTTTCAGCAACTCGAACATGTGACTCTGGCTTCTTGGAAATTATACTCATTCGTCAACATTTTATCTGCATACTAAGTAACCGATCAGCTCGTTAATAGATAAAGAAGATTATTTCAGCATTACGTAGCCCTAAACTCATTTAGCTACCTGCCAAGATTAAGAAAAGTTGGGTCACTGTGGGTTTTAGATAAAGGTGACTCACGTAACTTATCTGAGAGACAATCAACACACTCAGTGAGTCATGCCCTACATCTTTACTGCAATTTACACCTCATTTTCTTCTATTATTAGACTACATGAATGTATAATTACATTCTATGTAGGACACCCAACAACTTACAGTATGTTCTCTTTGGAAGAATAAAGTTTTATGTTCCCTTATGTTGTAAACATCCATTAAAGTTTATGGATCGATATTCGGGTTCAACTCTGACCTGCCACGGTTATGTAAGCTCTTTGAGGCTTTTCTTTTATTGATATTGCGACTGCGATCACGGCATTTACCACCAAACAAAGTGGTTTACATAATCGGTCTGAATTGCTGGCTTTGTTTACTAGCGATCTGATCCTGTGACTTCGTAGTCACAGAGTTTCCATGTTTCCATTTCACACCGACGACGACGAACACAATGTCAGCGACTGATAGCAATTATAAATACTGTATTGAAATAAGGCTTAAGCTTTAATAACCCAGAATAATCCTTTAAGTATCCACCTTGTGATGCGTCTGTGAACAAGAAGCTAAATGCCCCCCAGCCATGCCGCGGCCGAACATGTGCTTTCGTATTATTTACACAACTTCCTAAGATTGTATTTTTAGTCTAAAAACAAATAAATCTGTTCTTTACAGCAAACCAAAGCCGATCTTTCGTGGTTAAAACATACATACATATTTCTTGTTTTTATATGAAAGACCAGCACAGAATTCTCCTCCACAGGCAGATACTTGTTGTGTACTCCATAACCTTCCCCTGTGCAGCTGGGTCGGTTCCAGTGCTGGCTCTGTAGCCAGGCAGTGTGGAGCAGGAAGCCTGGAGGTTCACCCATCAGTCATCTCTGCACTGCCTACAAGTGTGTTCCTCATACTGATGCTGTTTTACTAGGACAAGAATAGCAGCATAATGTCTTTCAGAAAACAGTTTGATGAGGGAAAACATCCCCATTACATCACCCGGTTCCCAAAGACGGCGTTAAATTTTGTCAAACAAAAACCATGAAAAGACCTAAACCTTGTCAGGCGGAAAACATTTGGAGCTCCAAGTTAAGGATTTATGATAAAGAGACCAGGGAATAGTGGGATAATAGCGTGTGGCCAAGTTTGTACTAGCGTGCATGCTTGGCTCTGGCTGACGTTTCAGGGATAAGGGGGCGGAGGGGAGGATCAATCTCTGGCTCTGTCTAAACAGTGCATGCTCGCAGCAGACTCAACGGAGCCGAGGACGACGTTTACGGGACTCGACAATGGGATGCTTTTTAAATGTCATTATCCAGTTACACTCTTTTGTTCATTTCACTTTTTCTTTTATCTCATCAGGACATCTGCAGCGTAAACAAAGTCAAAAACATGAAGGAACTCCTCAGCAGGTCATGTCCTCCTTCTGGGATGAAGCTGTAGGTGCAGAGAACAACAAGGAGCCCAGGTCCATAACACTTCATACACCGTGGTGCTGTTTAGGTGGAAAGCTGAACTCTCCTTGTTGCTATTTAGAGCTTGTTTCCTAGAAACCCCAGCATCCTCTCTTGCTGCTCTCTCTGCTTCCCTCCAAAGGGAAGCAGCACGATATTCAATATTTTAAATTAAACTCTGGCTCGATATCACGCGATAAGAGGCTTAAACTCCAATTTGAATTATGAGTTATTTATTTTGAAAAGGAAAAAATGTGATTGTTTTCGCACATCCAGGACTCCTTCAGCTTGATTTTCGGTCCAGGTCGACCTGACATGTTGGAGATCTTCTACCAAAGCTTGTCTGTCACTTTGCTCCGTGGACCCGGACGCCTGCTTCGGTCTCACTCCGTCTCTCCATGTTTGTCTTTCTCAGGCAGCAGCTGTTAATAAATATTGATCGCTTGCATAAATGGGACACTTGTTCCGCCGGTCCTCGCTGAAGTGCGCGTTAATGCCAGCACACGCGGCTCGATTAATATACAAATACCACGGGGAAGGTTTTAGTTTGATCCAGAGGAATCCGCTTGTGGCTTCTCTTATCTTGAGCCGGAGAGGAACAAGCTTAAGACGCCGAGTGGGGCTTTGGGGTTTTTTTACGGGAGAGTTGACTTGACGACGGTTTCTGTCTATAAAAACAGCCCAAGATATCAAAACCCGTGTATACACAAGAGCCGGTGGACTCCGCTGAGTAACATAAACAGTTACCTTGCTCTGGCTCACATAGGAAACACAAAACCCAGTCGGACAACAGAGCAGCGCCAAAGTTCCTCCGAGCGCGGCTATGAATCAATGACACCGCTCCATTAGCGCTCATCTGGCTGTTTTATATTACACATAACATCGGGGCCGGGCTCATTCTCGTACTTACTTTTATATTAATTTAAACAATTTGGAGCAGAACTGCTAAATGTACTGTGACTGAGTCCATTTAACACTGAGAGGCCACTCCAGTGATAAAATAAGGTTTTCCAGAGAAAGCACACCTCAAGTGCTTCCTCCTATTGAGTACTATTCTGAGTCATGCAGACTGTGAAACATGGCAGGGCTCTCTGTGGCCTTTCAGTGCTGGGTTGCCTTGGCAGCTGCTCCAGGACTCCATGCTCTGTGCTGATAAGGAGGAGGAAGTGGCTGTGCCTAAGAAAGCAAGGTAGACTCAACCACTCTCAGACTATCCTCTGTTTTACTCTACCCTTAACCTAGTTCTCGTAGTCGTTCTTGCTGACAGATGAAAACACATTCATTCCTTGGCTGTTCTCTCCCCCCCACCACCACCTCCCCTACAGTCACGATGGTATGTTCAAGGATTATAATGGCTTACTCTCCATTATTGTGTCTAAACTGACTGCAATTGCCAGGGAGGTTTGGTATGCACGTCTGTGAGAGCAGAGAGCACTACTTGCATTAATGGAAGCAGAGTGGTGAAAGAAAAAAAAACGACGAGCTTCCTATAAATGCAGCCAGTGAGCCATCTTCCTCTTCAAACCAATTGCACACAGTGAGACAGCTTATACTCGCTGTTACGTAACAGCCATCGTGTCTGTTTGGATAAAAAGATGTCTTCTTGTGCTTCTATTTTAAGACGCCACTGACATGCTGAAACGTCTCTGATCCGTCGCTCCGACACCACGCTGCAGCGCCTCACAGTCGCTCGTGGACGCTCGGCGGGGTCGTAATTAAAAGGTTTACGTTCCCCGCCATGTATGGGGGTAAAGGAGATGTGGATGAGTCACAGGTGTGCTTGCAGTGTTTGTCTGTTCATGGAGTGGGTGGGTGGGTGGAGGGGGGAATGTTCCCGTGTCGTCACTGCCTCCAGCTAGAAGTCATTGCTCACTGATTAGTGTATGGGTTCAGTGACGGGGGAAGGTTGCTGCCGGACCGACTCCAAGGCGAGTTTTGATAGTAATGGGCTCGGACGGGGCGAAACGGAGAGGTGCTAGTGTCGCGTGAAAGGGAGGAGAGGAATTATGATATCAGCGTAGCGATCGAGCGGCCAGAATTAAACATCTGCTCGGAAGCATTAAGCGACATAACTCAGGCGGCGCTGTCGTGTGTTAGCGAGGTTGTCCCCTCTCGAAGGGAAGAGGAAAGACAGAGATCCTGCAGTCACCGCAACTCCAAGCTCCGTCCTCTCAATAATATCAGACACGTTAAAGGAAGGCAGACGGCTGTGTCCCTGGAATCAACAGCCACTCTGTTATTTTAGACAACTTGTGTTATTATAATGCACTGAGGAGCGGGAAAGGAACAGAGACACTAATGGTGTTTACAGGCTCACTACTGAGTGCAAATCAAGCTGAGTCTCTATTCTGGAGCAGCTAATGCTCACAGAGAGGATGGTAGAGCACAGCTAACACCATCAGGTCTACCGGGGGTGTGACAAATCTGTGCGACTGAGTTCATACAATTAGACCTCTAATTGAAAGCGCAAATTTACTTAGCTAATGAATCCAGAGATCCTTTTTTTTATGCTGGCTACACAGGTACGCCTAACAATGTAGGAGCACCTGAAATGATTTACTGCACCGTGATCTCCTGGAGGTGACTTCCATTCATATAACAAATGATAAAGCCAGGTCTTCTCCTACAGCAGCATAGCACCGGACAGTGGGTGTGCAGCTAGCAGCAGAGATGAGCGGTGTGTTTATCACTGACTGGTCAACAGCGCATTCAGAAGGTCAACAGCACATTCATAATTACTGGAGGCTACTGGAGGCCTGACCCTCTCAAATGAAGCAATCTGCTGACCCCTCCCCAAACCACAAGTGACCCCGATGCTCTGCACAGTTTTGCCGGGGCATGACCAGTGTTTGTAGCTGGCATGTTAGATTAGATTAGTTAGTAAATCAGAGTAAACATCATCACCAGAATGGAGTAAAGGTGCATAAAATACATTAAAACAAGCAAAAGGAAAGGCTTAGTAATCCACTGCTTTCCCCTATAAGGTAAATACTGACAAAAAAAACAAAAAGAATGAGCTGCATCAGCACAAATAAACATACTCGGCTTGTAAACAAAACACCCTAATGCTGAAGTAGAACATCAAACTGCAGTGACACAAACTATAGAAACACCAGTTAATCAAGGACTTTAACAGAGCAGCTCGCTGAAGCACTCTGAGCAGAAAGGAGGAATCAGCTGCAGCAAGTCGTAGAGCAGACCGTCGCTCATTTAAAATGTAATGCAAAATTTAGGTGGGAAAAAAACGCATTCACACACAGATTGAGTGTGACCGAAGAAAATGTTTAGTTGAACTTGACAGATAGTTATTCTAGTAGTTTAATCATAGCAAATGGACTTGCTTGAGCTTCGTGAAGACGTCGCATCCAAGAGGCTCCATCAGCTCTGACTGACTAGTTGGGAGTTGCAGATACTTCTATCCTAAAGGAGCCATTAACACCTGAGCTATGGTTTCCATTGGGGGTTTGTCGCTCCTCCCCCTCTCACCTATTTAGAATTCAGTCCTAAGAACTCTCCCCAGGACGATGAAACCCATTCACGCCTCGCCACAAAACACCTTCTCGAACCCCATTGTGGCAGGGGAAGTACTAACGACTCGCATAATGAGCGGGAGGAGCAGCAAACTCAAGAACTCAAGCAAGTCCAGCTGCTACGATTAATCTACGAGAACAACCATGATCTGGATGACTGAGAATCTTCACAGACTTGACAGATAGTTGTAAAATGGTCACACATTGGAGGCTTGAACCGATTCGGTCCAAAACGTCCCGGTTATGACTGAAGCCGGTCGGCGCTGTGCACGTCTCTCGCTGTGCAAACGTCTCACCTTGCATACAGCTTTCTATTCTGTGGATGAGCTGGTAGGACTTGCAGCGGTCCAGCAGAGTCCGGATGGCTGGAAGTGGGTCCAGGACAATGGTCTCGGGGTGAGCATCGATGTAGTCCTGAAAACACAGACACGGACATTTTAGAACCTTTATATTCTGTCCAAACAGATGTTACAACAACACAATCCTGTCTGCTCATTATGCAGCAACAGCATTTTATCAAACTGAAGTGAAACTGGCAGTAATTAGTCGTGATTGTTAAAAAATCGTTTGCATCTTCTTGTAAACCACAGAGACAAGTCCTCAGCTAATCATTTGACAACCAACAGAAAACATATCGTCAACCACTTTGACCGTTAGTGGGCCGTTTCCACGTGATCTTCTAACGATGAAGTGCTTTGTTCTCCGTTTTCCTTCTCTACATAATTAAGCATTTGATTAGGAAAACTGCCGGCAGGTTGATCAATAATAGAATTAATGGGAACACGTGGGTTGTTTACTATTTACCAAATACACCTAAGTGTGCAAAAAAAACAAAACAAGGGGCAACCATCTGTCGTGACACGTACAAATACATCCATACAGATTAGAAATGTTAAACAAACATATTGGAGTTAGCGAAGTACAAACACAAACAGTGAGGTGAAGGGTCAGCATGCCTCCCTCTGTTTGTGTAAGCCACAGAGAGCCTGAGATGTATGCCAGCGGGTCTGTGTAGGTTACATCACTACATCTCTGCGTGGCCGGCTGTTGGGTCAGCGTGAGGTTGGCTATTTTACATAACCGCACTCCCCTTTTCTTCTCTCGTCTTCTCTTGTCGGCTCTCCTCTGGCTCCGTCCTCGCGCCTCCTCCTCCTCCTCCTCCTCCTCTCCAACTCCCCGCCGCTCTCCTTGTTCTCCACATTTCAGTCTCTGCTCTATGGATCTCTCCGCCAACCGCTCCTTCCGAGCAATTTTTACTGACTCACAAACAGTGTCAGGTGGAGCCGGCCGGCCTGCACATTATACAGAAAGCCTGCCCCGTGAAAACAGCACCGCTCCACTGTCATACAATGAAATTAAACACATGCAGGAATGCTATGCGTCAAGCGCACATGCACGACGGAAAAATCGTCCGAACCGAACTACACACACGCTGACGCACAAAGCATGTAAACAAACTCCTGTGCCTTGACATGGAGGACCCATCTGCAGGATTTGCTGGGATCTAACGGGCAGCGCTGATCAAAGCCAGAGGAGCAGTTATGTAAGTCGGACCGAAAAATAAATCCAAACTAATCTTCCAGGAGTTTGGAGGAACACTCTGCTGATAAGGACTGTCACTTTGCTGATTTCTGCATCGTAGAAAAAGAAATGCAGCCGAACGCAGACAAGAGGGGGAGGTGAGAAAGAGACGAAGGCTCTTTAGCAGGTGTTAGAGAGGAAAAGAGCCAGACGTATGTCAGTGTGGGTGTCACAGAGGGCTGCACATTTTCTGTTCGCCTTTTTTTTTTTGGGAGCAGATCTGGTTCTATAGGAGATTAAATGGTTTGAAGTCTCAGGAAATAGGGTCAGAAGAGGATGGAATCTGTTCTAGTGACTGTAAGCCTGTGGTGCCACTGAATGATTTTAACACTTACATTAACCACAATAGCGACCAGATGGGTGTGATTTACACATCAGTTCAATTTACATTAACTGTCGATCACAGAGAAGTTCACAAGACGCCTGTTTCTCCACAATATAAACAAAAAACTACACATCCAAATGTAGCTGGACATGGGTTTAAGGAATTTATGTTCAGTACAATTTGTAGGTTACTCACAATAATAAATGCTAATAAAGGACATGAAGCTCAGCAAAGTTCCTCAAATCACATCCTCCCACACAAACTACCATGAACGAGTATTGCACCCACTATCCTGTGACCCCGGAGAGAAATCACTCCAGCGACATTCGTCCCAGGTCTGCTGTACACTCGGCTCACACCTCAGGCCAGTGAATCACCGCCGCGCATCCCAGGATGACATTTTGTTTTAAATAAAGAGCTATTTTAGAGAGGACGGCTTATTCCTTCCACCACACAAAAGGCTGTTTACGATCGCAGCTGTGTGATATTAGAAATGTTCCAACGCTAATATTTCCGAGCGAAACGTAATCACAGATGACAGTTGTGTTCAGGTAAATAGCCAGATCTAAGCCCTACAGACGGGGCTGAGTCCCAAGACTGAGCTGCTGATTTATCAGCTGATACTTAATTCAACCATAACTACAGCGATAAACTTTGGGTTACAAGTAAAACAAGAAAAAAGTGCTGGACTGGAACCACCAGTCCTCTGCAGGGAGAAAACGCCTGCCGAGGTTGTTTGAGGATTTGTATTTAAGTGCTTACACAATGCCACCCTGTAGATGAAACGTACACAGACAGATCCATTGTTTATGGAATAAAAATTCAGTCTATGAAATGTGAGAAAACAGTTAAATAAGTGCCCACTGCAACCAAAATATGTGTCTTTGACAGTTCAAAACACAACATTTACAGCAAATGCACA